CTCCCTTCAAGCACGTCTTCGCTGCCTTCGACCGACGCCTTGATGTACGTCAACACAGGCGGCACCTGCAGTCTGCCCATCACACTGCTCTGTTCGCCCCACAGGCCCAACCCTCCTCCAGCGCCGACCGGCCCAGAAACTTCCCGCACGAGCACATTGTCCCTCACACGATCGCCACCAAGCGTCCGCGGCTTGGTCGCGACGCGGTCATCCACGCCATCCAGCGTCTTCCGCTTGCCCCTGCCCGTCTCGAGCGCGGCGATCTGCACGTCCGTGCTCCAGTCGCCTGGGAACATATCCACGTCGCGGTCGGCATCGTCTCTCGTGAGGTCCGCGATCCCCCGAACCGCTGTTGCTGCTGCGACGCCGGCGGGCGGGACGACGGGCCAGCTTGCTCAGTGGGCGCGCCCGCGGAGGGGACGTTCGCCGCAGAGGGCACGGAGCCCGGCAACGCGCCGACGAAGCCCGGCTGGATCCGCTTCTTCGTCTTCCGCTTCGCGACGAGCTGGTTGATCTGCTCCCCGCCGTTCGCGGCCGTGCCGAACCCTGTCTGCGTCTGCATCGATTTGGCCTCGGAGCGCCCGGGCGAGGGCGGCGGCGTCATGCGTGCATTGCCCGCGGCCCGCTGGGCCTCGAGGGCCACTTGGTGAGCGTAGCCGGTGGGGAGAGGTGGCGGGATGAAGCCGAACTTCTTGAGGTACTGTTCCTGCGCGGACTGGGGGGCGATCCCTTCTAGTTCCTCCGAGTCGAAGCTGAACACGGCCATCGTGCCGTCGGAAGAGACGGCGTACAACGTGAGACCATCCTGCGACCTGAAAGGCGAACACACTCAATCAATGGAGGAGCTGGGAAAAAGGAATCGTACCAGCTGAGGTCCATAATTTGCCTCTCAAAGACCTCCTTCGCGACGATCAGCGGCCGCGCCGACTTGGTCTGCCATACTGATACCGCGCGATCGTCCGCTCCTAGCGCAACCACAGAGCAGATGTTTGACGCAACGACAGGCTGCGACGTATCTCGAAGGAATATGTGCGGATTGTATGCCTGAGCAATACTTAAGATTACGACCGACAAGGACATAATTATGGAGACTTACGGCGACTTCAACAGTATTCTCATGGCCCACCAGGCTGATCTCCGAGGTCCAGGTATTGCGAGCGATCACGGCAGCGATGAAAACGTATCCCTCATTGTTCGTGGCATTCGAAGCTGTAATGTGTGCACCGTCGGGCGACCAGCTAGGGGCTATGCGTGAGACGTGTCATTCGCCAGCACAGACGGACGCACCTCAATCGCCTGAAGAATGTTCCCGGAGAATGGTCGAACGGCTTTCGGACCTCAGCCTCCACCTGCCAGTCGGTCGTCCTCCATATCCGAACGGAGCGATCGTCAGAGCCCGTCGCGAGGAACTCTCCTACAGGGTCCCAGCAAACGCCCTTGACGAACCCTTGGTGCTGGTCTATTCGTCGCAAACGTTCTACAGCAAGTAGTGACGCGTCAGTCAAACGATGTGGACGGAAATTAGTTAGTGAGTAGCTGTACCGAGGGTGTAGCCACACCAGATTAAGACACACGAATCCAGTCCGACTGTAGCGAGGTAGCGGTCTGCGGGTGACCATGCCATATCCGTGACATCTAGGGTAAAGCATATGAGGTGATGGGTAGTATCCAACATTCGTTCTCGACGTACCACTCTCGTGCCCCGGCAGCCGTTTGAGAGGCTTCCATCCCTCAAAGTTGACTTCGTCAGAGCCCCAAACCTTGCCCTTGGCGGAACTAATTGAGACATTTCATTGAGCACTGCACACTGACATCTAGTACGACGAAGAAAGGAAGTAATGTTCCTCATTGATCCGAGACCAGTGCGAAGGTAGGTGCCTCCCTAACCAAAGCCCACCGGCCTCTACGTGCGCACTCAGTGAGAATAACTCGACTGGCGCTGTTCCTGGTACTGTGTTGTGAAATTTCGCGAGAGGCCCGTGCCTTCCTGTCTGTAACTGAGTAGAGCGACTACTCACGGGTCAAGGTCCCAAATCATCACAATCTCGTCGTCGCTGCCACTCGCTAGCCACCGCCCCGAATGCGCCCATCGTACGACAAGGACAGGTCCCGTGTGCATTGTGAGCGTGCTTAAGCTCTTCGGGGGCCTTCCTGACGCCTCGGACGCTTCGTTGAGGATTGGCTTGGTACTCCAGATGCGGACCTTCGCGTCGAGGCCGCCCGTGGCTATCCGCGAACCGTCTGGATGGACATGCACAGAGAAGATGGTCACCCTCTTCTCCTGCTCGCCCTTCATGGCAGAATCTGCGAGACAGCTGGTCAGTAACTGTGCGGGTGGTCAGGCGATGTACGACCGACCTTTATGAATGACCCATGCTGGCTTGGTGAACTTCATGGATGGAAGCGACTTTACAGAGACTAAGTACTATACAACAGAGCAATAAATTAAGTAGACCAACGCAAGCAGCTGAGGATAGTGGGCTCGAGGTCGCCGTGGTAGTAGACAGAGTGGATGACTATCCGTAAGGATTTAGAACCGGCCGATCGCCTCTAAACCAGTTGTAGCGGAGCTTTAATTCCGTTTAGAACGAGTTTCTAATCCGTAAGACGAGTTTATACCGCAACCGGGACGGTCGCGCTCACGTGAATTGTAACTCAGGCGGATTCCCGCTATCGGCTGGTTCGGCAGGGCCAGGGACCTCAGACACCACAATCTAAAAGGAGCAGAAAGTCGGTAATTTGGAAACTACGCCCCTACGGAAATAGCCGCCGTACGGAGTGCGCCCCTGCCCGATATGGAAAGTGGTGACACGGCGAGTCACCGCGTAGAGTCCTGCGTGCAGGTCGCTCCTGTCCATGTGTAGAATATGTTTTGAGACCATTTTAGGCATGCATTATGTGTTTAGTGCACAATATAGTTAACAGTTTGTAGTCCAGTAGGCCAATACCGCCTCGGTGCCTGATGTCACAGCGATGACAGTGTGACAAATCACTGTGACAGAGACTGTGCCGCCGCCTTCGCAGAGTGGTGGTTCGTGTTCAGCTGCCCCCCCTGCACCCTCGACAACACCCTCTGGTCTGCCGCATCTCTTCTGTCATCGGAGCAACAATGCTCACCTTTGGACAGGCCACTGCACTCTACACCAAGCCGACCTTTTTTGACTGGACATGCGACACCTGTAGGCGGCCATTAGAGATCCAAGTGATGAAGAGCAACAAGAAGCAGAACTGTGGGCGATCCTACGTATTGGTGAGCCACAAGTCCGTCCATGCTTGAAGTCTCTGACACTTGTATCAATGTACCTCAGTGTAGCGCACTGGAACACTGCCGGGCTTGTCCGGCAGTGTACACTCAATGGATCGGCCGAGCTGTGTGAGACGAGGTTGTATTGAAAAAGCGGAGCGATGATGAGCCCTTAGCTCACCTACCTACCGAAAACACCATTTACGGTTGATATGACGGTACACTAAGTCAGAATGGTCGACGCGCTATCCGTCCGTTCGAGGGAACCGCCCGATGTTCGAAGCTCAAGCGTCAATGTTCGGAACCCTTAGTGGCAGAGGCAAGCGGTTTAGAAGCGTCGCTACATTGGTAGGACTCCGGGGCAAGTACATGGCTACGTCAAACTAACTAGTGACGGCCTCGGCAACTCTCGTATCTATGGCCTCGACCTCCACACCCATGACCGCCACCCCTACCCCTACGAACAGACGGACCAGCGTCGAAGCCACGGTCAGTGTTGACGCGCTCGAGCAGGCTTTCGAGCAACCCGACGAGGGTGCCGTGCGTGCGGCGCTGCATCAGGGAAAACCGCCTATTTCCCAAAGCACTTTCATAGTTTTGACGAGCATAAAAAGTGTTTACAAGAGTCCCAATTGGCCTCGAGTGCGCGGAGCAAACTCAACCACTTTCCAACACAAGTTCGCTAATTGGGAGATTGATGCATGGGAAAGAAGCACTTGAAATCACCAATGAGATAATGGAAGCACTTGTAAGAATTCCAATTAGACGCCCAGAAACCGAGGAGCTCGTCTTAGGAGCATTTGTGACTACTCTCTAGCCGTTGAGAGTGCTTTCAAATATTAACAACCGGTTACTAGTTCTCTAAGATGCTTATTAATGCCTTCAGATGCACTCAGAGGGGATGACAGTGATCGTAAAAATCGTATTCGGCATTGTACAGTCATGATACAACAATAGAACACATCCAGCTGCTGAGCGTACAGAAGAGAGGTATTGTGGCTGGAGGGATGGCTGTCAACGATACAAATGGAGACGTGGGGGCGGCGACAAGGGCAAGGTATGAGACGACCAGAATGGCCGCGAAGATGAAATATTTACGGCCGACCAGCGAGGTCGGGACATCAGCGTAGTCTTACACCACCTGTTGATGATGCTGCCTTGAGCTGAGTCAATAGCAGACCAACCTAGTATCATGCGCACCTCTGAGTGTGCTGTCCATGCCTCCTCTTCCATCATCCTCATGCTGATGGCTGGCTCTGGGTGCTCGACGACGGGCCGGCCTCTCCACCAGTGTTCTCAGACGACAGGCCCGCGGTTTTCATCCACCGAGAGGACAGACGATCCATGTCGAGGTTGAGGTTAATAGTGGCGCGCTGTCCTTCCGAGTCGGTCACCTCGAGTTCAGGCTCCGCGATCCTCGCAACAGTTCTGACCCACGGACCCCTTCAGTAGTTCAAGTATTTGGACGAACTTATTGAGCTTACCGTATGCAGTTGACCAGAGAGTTGTTCATGGATTTGACTAACTCGCTAATCCCCTTGTTGAAACTGGGATTCTTCGGATCAGCAAACCGGCGAAGCATGTCGATACCGGCTCTGAAGCGGTCGTGCCTGCAGATAAAATCATCAATATCAACTTTGGAAAATTGAAGCAACGCCAGGCCCAACACACTCCGGCGCGTATGTCTTCTCGTCGAAGTTGATGGTGATGTTACCCTTGAGGGCCTCCTCCAGAGTCACCAGTATCTGACAACATATAGATCAGATATTCACCGTGCATTCTGTAGAGCACTTGGTTACTCACCGCGCTGCACACAAGAGCAATCATGTTGCTCGACAGAGGAACCTTGTTGATATCGAATATTTCACGGTGCTCAGGGCGCAACGCCTCGGGATTCTGTCCCAGCCACCAATGACGAGCCATCACTTCTGCAATGGCCTCGTTGTGGAACGGGGCGTCACGTTCGGCCACCCACAGCTGCTCCATGTGAGCTGTTAGTTCTGCCGTCATCTCAATTGAGGGGCTCACCGAGGGCTCAACGTCTGGATCGGGCATGGTGAGGTTCCCGTGGTGGAAGGTGTCCGAGTCCTTGAGCCACCTGATACGCGCCTCCAAAGCGTTCTGTAGCTTATCCGCGCGGGCCACAGCGTTCAGCCTTTCGCCGTTGGGTCCAAGGTCAGAGACCTTGATCGACAGGAACTCCTTTTCCACCACACGCTTGGCCTTCTGTTTCACCTCCTGGCGAAACTGCGCTGCCAGCCTGTAGACCTGAAGCCGGGAAACTGTCACCGGGGACATCCAGAATAGCCATACCACTTACCTTGTGCCGCAGCACCTTTCTCGTGCTGAACTCAGCCATCATCTTGTCGTATCTCGCCTTGAACTTGGGTGCCCGATAGATCTTGTGCTTGGCTATGACCCTCTCATACATTGACAATGGAGCGTCCCACTTGCCGACGACCTTGTCGTTCTGACGGGGCCACGCGTTTTCAACACTGAGGTACGCCCTGAATTCTAGCTGGGCGAGTTGCACGAAAGTCCGGAACGGCTCCTGTTCGAGTTCAGCGATCACTTCCTCGGAGACCTTCAACGCTTTCGGCTTGCCCTGGGCCTTGACCTTCGCAGTCTTCGACTTCAATTGCGGCTTCTCCTCCGACTTCACAATGATCTTAAGACCTTGTTAGCGTTGTACTCCATCAACATTATCCACATACCTCGTCGCTCTCAGAGGCGTTCTCCCCGAGCTCGTCATCGTCGCTGTCTACCTTATTCTCCTCCTCCGATACGTGATAGGACTGGCTGTCGTCCCCAGAGGCAGCTTTAGATGCGTGCCGAGTGGTGCTAGTCTTGCTCTTAACCGCTCCTCGACCCGACGCTTGGGGGGCTCGCAATCCATCAGTATATTGGCTATGCATACCAGGGAAGTTGAACTCACTGTCGTCCTCAGAGTCCTCCATCTTCGAGCCTTCCTCTGACAATTGGTCCTTCTCGCTCTCTTCCTCACTCTGTACGCGTGCCGTCCCCTTCCCAGTCCGTGCTCCTGTCTCTCACATGGCCGTTAGTTTCCCTTCAGACTGGTAAAATCAATCCCACTTACGCAGACGCTGGAGCACCAGGTCCTCATCCTGGGTTAACGCAGGGATTGCGGGACGGCGTGACTCAATGACTACCTCCGCCCTCTTCTTCCCAGGTGATGGGGCTACCAGTAGTGGGGCACATTAGAGGCACGCATGCAAATGCGGTAGTACGGGCAACTCACGCGATGTAGGAGAGCTATGCGCCGCAGGCTGCGACGCCCTAGCCCCAACAGCTTTACCGGGGCTCTGCACCTTCGCCCTCTTCTTTTCAGGCCGCTCAGGGGCTCGCTGGACAAGATCTGTGTCGCTGCCTTCCTTGTCTGATACTTGCTCGGCCTTCCTCTTTCGCGGCCTCGGGCGGGGCTTTGGCTTCGGAGGCGAAACAACTGTATTCTCTGAACATCGTTAGACTATCAGGCGAGCTTCTCTACCATCCACTTGCCTCTGGCGGTTGCCTTTCCCTTTCCCTTCGACATAGCGGGTGCATCGCCATCGGAGGGCGAGAAAGATGGTTCCTCTTCCGCCTCCTCTCCACTGGTGTCTTGTTCGTCCCCAGCTACAACCTCAGGCTCTTCATCGTGGCCTTCAGCATCCTTGTCCAACATCGCCGCACTATTCGCTTGTATGGCTAGAAGGGAGTATAGTTAGCTGATTACGCTGTAGCCACTCGTAACTTACTTTCTTGACGCTCCTTGTCTGAGGCGGGACTCTTTTTCATATCCGCGAGCAACTTTCGAGCCTTTGTCATGACCTCTTTCTCGGACGCGTCAGGGTTCGTCATCCTCACGGCCTCCTTGACGCGCTGGAGAGCATCGCCTTGGTCCACTGTTGCAGAGATCGACGAGGCACCAGATTTCTTGGAGGTCGCCTTGGGCGGGGCGGGAGCCTTGGAGCTAGTCTTTTTCTTGTCCTTGGTGGCAGCTGATCGCGTTCGGCGAGTGGCCATGGTTATAGCAAAGCGAGAGTACGGCGGAGAGAGTGTGTGTTGAGGTCAAGGAACTAACGTCGCCAACGCGTCTTGCAGAAGATTTCGGAGATGCGGAGCTGAGCCGAACTCCGGGGCACCATATTGGCCGCGAACATCTGTTCCCTAGCTCTTTCCAGCGCAGGGCAAAAAGGCAACCGTGGATATGGTATGAAGCTTTGGAATTGAGAGATACCGTACTTGTTACATGGTAGGGAGAAATCGGCAGT